GACTGTTTTGTTCGGTAGATTTTGATCTTTTTTCATGTATTGATAGAATGATTTATTTGGTTCTTTATATTTTTGAGGTTTATTTTGATTGTCTTGCTGTTTTTGTCTACATTCGGAAATACTATGTCCGTATCGTCGGCAATAATTACACCATTTTTTGAAAGATGGTTTGCCTTTAAAGTTTGGGTTCTTTTCGTAAATATTGAGTATTTCAGTGATTTTTTCAACGAGGTCTGTCTCTGATTCCTGTATATTATTAATATTAGTGGGAGTCGTTTCAATTCTATTAACGTATTGTAATTTCAGATTTTCCGTTTCTTCTAGTTTCATCGTGATTTCTGCTTGTTCTAATTTGTCTACTAGTTTTCGAAAATCTAAATCGGGTTCTCGAATTGAAGAAGGATGTGATGCTCTCTTTTTTATTGCTATTTTCCTTAATTGTGGTGTTAAGGTCATCATTAAGATTTCTGTCATCTTTGTGTTTTTATAGTCATGTGTATTTAATGAATATGCTTTTCGAACTAGTGTTTCGATTCGTACTGCTATTTGCTTGATGGTTTCGTTTGGTAATCTGCGAATTTCATTACATAAAACTCTTTGTTGTTGTTTGTTTCTTTCGGAGTCAAACATTTTTGAAAATTCCTGTGTAAACCTTTTCCAGTTTGATTTTATTTCTAGAGGTAGTACTGAAAACCATTTTTGGGCTGCGCCATCTAAGGTTGTTTGTATTAACGCTGTGCGTCGATGTATCCAATTTTGATGTAGTGGCGTATTAATTGGTTCAGGTCCAATATTTAAAATCAGGTTTGCTGTTACTGCATTTAAATAATCTTCTACAGAGTATTCAGGGTCTGTTCCTGTGAAAACCATTAAAGGTTTGTTTGATGTTATTGATGATCCACCCATAAGGTATGGATTCATTGTCATTTGTAATGATTCTGCTGCATTTGGCATTTGAGAAAAATTTGAAAGTTGGTTTCTTGTTATTTCATGTTGTTGGAGATAATATGGGAGTGGTATTTCATTTTGCATTTGTGATGGTTGATACGAGTGTGCAGTCATTGGATTTTGTTGTTGAATTGGTTGAAAAGATTGTGTATGAATTGGATTTTGTTGTTGAATTGGTTGAAAAGATTGTGTATGAATTGGATTTTGTTGTTGAATTGGTTGTTGATTTTGTGCATCTATTGGTTGTGGAGAAAAATTTCTATGATTTGTACGTGTTCTCTGTATTCCTTGTTTACGATATTCTTGGGTATTTTGTGCAAATATATCTGGTTGTAAGAAATCATCATCTGAGGATAAATAATCCATTTGATAAGATGTCTGTTTTTTATTTTTATTTTGTTGAAAAAATGGGTAATTTTCACTGTGATCCCGTGGAGGATTTGTTTGGAAATTTGTTGAATTAGGTTGGGCCATTGGGTTATCCCAATTTCGAGATCTTGTATATTGGTTAAAATTTCTTTGTGGTTGATTATATGTTTTTGATGGATGTGTATAATTATAATTATGGTCTGCAAAGTTGTTTCTAGTGAATGTTTTGCGTGTTTTTGATGGTATTGTCATGGGTCTGTATGTTTGGTAATCCATATGTGAATATTTAGGGGCAACCGAAGGTTTAACGGTTGATTGTAAGGTTACCTGTGTTTGTGAAGGATTTGTATTTCTTGGTGTTGTTAAATTTGGGCGTATTGGTGAAATACTTTGTTGTGTAGTTGTTGTGTGTACAATTTCTTCATTTATGAAGTGTGATGGTGTCTGGATATCTTGTTGAGTAAGATTCCTAGTTCCATTGAGGTTTTCATTGTGTATAACTGTAGAGTTTAAACTATTATTTTGTGTATCGGGTAAAAATGTATTATAGTTTAATGGTGTTGCATCAATTGTTAATGGTATTACTCTTACATAATCTCTTATGTAAGATATTGTACCTATTGCTTGACTTGAGATTGATTGTGGAAAGCTTATAAATGCGGGATGAGACCATTCGGGGTCCCAAACATAATCTGATTGTTCTGTGATAGCGGTATCATCGTTCGAATTTTGGGGTCTAAAATTTTTTCTTGCTTGTGCAATTAAATCAATATTGTGTGTGAAATAATCTATTATGAACCATGCCAAAATTTTTTGTAGATCGTGTTTTGTATGTTGTGAAACGTCGTCTTTCGTGAAATTTTCTTTAATGATGTTTAAATAACTAGAGAGTAGTGTGATTTCATGTCGTACTTTCAAATGTTTAGATGTTTCTGTCGGTGAGACATTTGTTATTGGGATTTCGTTTTCTAATATCGAAATATAACTATATATTATTGCGAAAACTTCATTGGTGAATATGGAGTTTGCTCTTTGTGAGTTATGGTATTGGATGCTTTTTATATATTCTGAAAAAACTTTTGAAAATTCTAAATCAAGATCGTCTGTTTGAATTGTATATTTTTTATTATTATGATTTGGTGAGGTGAATTCTATGGAGTAGATTCCATACTGTTGTGTTATGTTGCATATATCTTTTAGATAGTGATCTATGATTTGTCTTTTGATTTTTACATCGGGGAACTCTGTTTTACATGGACTGATTCCGGGTTCAAATAAATTTACGAGTAAATTTTGACAAAATATGTGTTGTCCTCTATCAGTATCTGCGTCTACTATAAAAGGAAAGATTTCATCATCATCTGGAGTTTCTTCACCTGGGGTGTGCGTTGAACTCATTTTTTCGTTCGATTACTGTTAATATGTAATTATTAATGTGTCGAATTGGTTGATTCCAATTGTATAAATGTACTGGTTTGTGTTTGTACTGCTTTTTTATTCTTCTTTTTCCTCTTTGTGATGAATTTGAAGTTGTTTCTGAGTCAGAGAAATATAATTGATCGTGAATTGGGCAATTTTTATCTATTGATTCTTTTAGTTTGTAAAGTTCGTCTAAACTGTTGGTTTCTGATTCTGAAAATGCGTTTCGATTTTTTGAAAATCTTTTTCGTGTTATTTGTCTTTGTTTCGTTATTATTTTTCTTTTTAGTGTTTGTCGTTTTGTTCGAATGTATCCAACTGTTTGTGTATGAGGAGTGATTACAAGGTCGTATTTTTTGTTATCTATTTCACAATTGTGTAAAACGATTGTTTGTTTATTTCCTAGGTTTTTAAATGACATAAGGTTTAAAATGACGGATGCAAAAGGTTGTTAAATGATTTCTATTTTCCTAAACTGTTAGTTCTTACGATTTTTTGGTTAGCTTAACCTGGGTCTATGTGTTTAGGGTTGGAGAGAAAAGTATATCGATTCCGAAGAATGATTTTTACTTTCTCGTGACTAGTATAAGCTAAGGTGTTAACTTACTTAATCTTACTTAGGGGTAGTGATTGTGTTCAAGGGTTGGAGAATAGTAAATCGATCCACAAGGTTCAGGTATAATTAGAACGCGAGTAGTTCGTTAGATACTATTTTAAACTTACTAAGTCTAAGATTTATCCTGGGTCTGGTAAGAGGGGGGGTCAAGTGAAGGATGAATAACCGAAGTTCTTCACTGTTTATCCTAATTTGAATGATTAGTTTTGTTTAAAAATTTCTATTAGTCTTAGGTCTTTAGAAAGGGTTGGGTAGTGAATCGACGTTTGAGGTCGTTAGACACTAATTAAGTGGGTGGGGGAGAACAAAGTTGTTCTGTTTGATCCAAGGATAAGCCTTGATGATCAAATTTGAAATTTAATTAAGTAGAAAATGATTTAAGATCCAAGGATAAGCCTTGATGATCTGGTTTTAAAATTAAGTGAATTTAAGTTTTAATAAAATTTTAAATGTGTGTAAAGGAAAGATTTAGTGTTTTGATGATGTTAGTTGGTTTATAATTGCTGTTATGTTTTAGGTGATGGAGCTGGAATCAACAGGATGATTTATGATTACTAACCATTTATTGTCATGCTACTAATTTTTATTTTTATTTTTCAATAAATATTTTTCAAACATGTTTTGTATAATACTGCAGAGTTTTAGGAAAACGATCTAAGATCTTTTTATTAATCGTTATTGTATATTAATAAATTTGTTTAGCGCCTGAAATGATTTTGAAGAGTAACTTCAAAGTTTTATGTTTGCAAATGGAAATCTAAATTCATTGCAAGTAGTATTCGAAATATAAAAGTTTGTTCTGGCTTTTGCCGAACTATCATATAACTATACGGCAAGTTTCTACTTTGTCGTATGTCGTCTTTGGTTCGAGGTCTTCTTCCAATTCTGGGTAGTTCTGTTATGGTTCGGAATATTGGCTCTGATCTATTGAGTCGTAGAGACATTTCGATTAAATTATTGTCGTATAACATTTTGTAAATGTTTTTGTCTAATTTCTAATCTATTTTGGTTAATTCTAATCTATTAAGGTCTTGTTCGAGACTTATGGTCGCACCAGATGAGTTAGGACCGAAGTGTAACTCATAGAGTAATTTCGGATAGGGTACACCGTCTGCTCGTCACGCTATCTTATTTTCGGCCGGATAGATTCGTGCAACTTCTTAGTCTAATACCGATCCTAATCTTACTCTTATACTATCTAGTCTCAGGTTGTTTAACTAGTCTCTGCTAGGCTCAATAGATCTAGGGTATACTGGTTTATTGCGGCTGCTGAAGTGCTCGGGAGAGTCCAACTAATTTCTAAGTTAAATTTAAATCTCTCTGGTGCTGAAATTACAAGTAACTTCAGCACTTACAAATAAGTGGGTTGTTAGTTAGATGGATCATGATTGGTTAATATTAAATACTTTACATTGGTAAAACATTTAATTTATCCAATCATAAAATGTAGTTTAGATCAGGTTCCATTATTTATGTTTTTTGATTCACTAATCTTGTTTTTTGATTCTCTTTATGAGAATTTGACGAAATTGAAATTTTATTTAGAAACAGTCTGTTATCTATGAGGGTTGTGGAATTATGGAGACTATTCTACGTGATTACTTGTAAGAGAGAATTGAAACTGACCGATTTTGAATGAGAAACTGACCGATTTTGAATGAGTTGCAGTGTTCGATTTTGTTGCCGATGTCCCCGTATTCATCGTGCACCTTCGGAGTGTCCTGCTTGATGATCTTACTGTGCAACACCTGAAGTATAAACAACAAAACGTCACAATCGCCTACTTGCGCCACTAAAACTATCGATCAGTAGACGGCACTCTTAAGCTCCCTCTATATATGCGACTAGCAAGCACATGAAAAAAAAAACGAGCCGGTCCTTAACAACGTTAAATCTTTTCAGTTATCAGATAAGTTTTCGCGTATAGCGCTGTTAAGAGCGTTTGGAAAATCTCAATTAAAACCTTTAAAAATATCAATCTTACTGGCCAACTTCTGTCAAGCGAAAGTTAAAGAACACGCAAAACGGATTCTAATATAAAACCCAACGCCACATGTTGAATACACTTCTCGCAATCTTCGTCTTATGATCTATAATGGAGGGTGTGAAGTGTAGTTTAAAAAAGTAGACGAATAGATTTTGCTCATGGAGATGCCACCCGACAGGCTGATTGATGCCTTTTTGGTATTCTCCCAAGCCGAAATTCAGTGTAAACTTGCATTTTTATAGAATGTATGATTAGAAGTTTTGGCTAGAAAAAAAAATTATCATTAATTATAATTATTATAGCATACCTTGAGGTAGTATTCTCGGAGCCGGTTGTTCTTGCCAGAGATGGTGACGAGGAGGGAGAGGGATGGGATGATCTCCATCTGGGAGAACTTCCGATCACTCACTAGACGAACAACCTCACAGCCTCCACTCCTGTCCATGAAGTAGAGCCCCTTAGTAGTCCCAATCAGTAGGTTCACACCTGTACAATCAACATGCGCGATTAAAAATGCCGGTCTACAATAGATAGATGTAGAGATGATGTTGATGCTTAAACTAGTTTCAGTATACATGTAAAACACGCAGTCGCCAATGCATTCTCGCTAATGTATTCATGTATTCGTCAATCGGCAATCTCAGCTCATTTCTCAGTTTTCGATGGCTCAAAGGATTCGCATTTTCTTCATTCTGCATTTAGCTGAGCAACGAATGAAACTCACAGTGAAATTTAGGGTTTTGATAATATTACTCTACGGCGAAAGTCTTCCGGATTTTGATACTTCGACTTACTTGGTGCCGCAATAAATCTTAAGAGTCAATAAACGCAAGAAAACATTAACTCACCCCAAAGACAAGCACACAGAACTTCGCTTTTGAACTTCTTGAGAAACTTCCTAATTTCGGGGTTTATGGGACTCGTAGTGCTACCCTGCTCTGAGCTACTGATGTTGATAGGAACATTCACACTTGAAGGCGTACTGCCTCCAACTCCGAACCCAAACGAGTTGAAGTGACCTGCCTTGGTATCACTGGAGCTTCCCTTTCGACTTCTGCTGTGAGGAGAGCTGGTGTTGACTTCGGCTGTTGACTGCCGCTTTAGTTTGCCTTCAGAGGCTTTTCGAGGGGTTTCCGAAGGCGGTGTTTGTTTTGAATCAGGAGTGCCTAGTCTACTGTCCATGTTTTGCTGGGATGGTACGGATACCATGGATGCACGCTTGTTTGATACATCTTCCATCGAACGGCGCTGAAAGATTTCAAAGATGTATTCAACAAAGTGAGAAAAGTAACTTGCGGGAACCCATTTGTCAGTCTAGATCCAATAAAACTGCGGTTCACTTGTTTATTTTGCCATCCTCCCCTTAACAAACGTTCATAGTTCAAAGCCAGAGGAAAAGACGCCCTTAGAACAATTTAAAGTTCAGTCGGCCAATTGTAAGTCGGTTTAGCAAGAGCCCTTAGCTAAAAATTAGCAATCGTTTAGAGAAGAACGGTTCTCGCAGTAGTCTTGCTTCAACACATTACTGTTTGCAAGTTAGAATATATTCCGAATTCTGTAACAACATAAGGCACGAGTCTATTTGAGATTCAAAACACAGTGAACAGACCGTTGGAAAAGAGTCAATGAACGCAAGAAAACAGAAAAAAAACTGACTTGTCTTTCGTATAAAGATCAATTATCGAATTTCGAAGAAAAATAGATAGCCTTAAAGCTCTTTGAATTTCGATAAAATTTAATGATTGTCACTTTTTTGATAAAATTTGAGAAAACCCAATTTGAGAAAACTGGATTAATAAGTAAAAACTTTATTTCGCTGGTGAATCTGATAAATAAATTGCATTTTCGAAACTAGAAGTCAATGACGTTTTTCGTGACCTTTGCAATTTCATTGCTCGTTAGTGGAACTTGCCTCAAAAGTCAAACCGCGAAAAACCCAAACCGCGAAGAAATCAGAAGTCAAACAGCAAAAAAAGGAAATTTGAGCCAGAACAAATTTGATTTTTCCTGAAAAAAAACAAAAAAAAATCATTTTGAACTATACTCATCGTTACTTAATAATTGTCTCTCCTACCGTTTTGGACTCTTTGTGTTTTCTGAGTAGATTGCTGCTGCTGCTGTTTTTCTTCTCACTCACGTTCTGCTGACTACTGCTCCCATCCTTTCCTGAAGGCGTCTGGGATTGAGCTGCGGAGGGCGAAGATGAGGAGGTGATGTCGATGTCCACAGCACTGGCCTTCTTACTCATCTGACTCATTGGCCTCTCTTGGCTCATGCTTCGACTGGAGGACTTCTTGTGCTGGCCTCTCATTTGTGCCGCTGACTCGTTGTAAGAATCTGAAAAACCCTAACCTATAAACTGACAAACTTTGGGAAATCAATTAGTCGTAATTGAAAATTCACGTCCAAAAACGACGTTTCTAAGCTCATTTGTGAAAGCTTGAAAACCGCAGTTTTTTCGGCGCGCGCTCACCCTTGAAAATTAGTATACATTGCATTGCGACGATGACACCTTTTGAAAAAGTTCAGGAGAGGCAATAGCTGATTTAGGGGGCGGGTGGAATGTTTTCCCCTCAGGGACTCGACTCCCTGACTACCCAAAGGATACCCCTTTGGTACTATCTTAAGACATCCAATTTTGGCTGACCGACCCTAAAAATTTCTAGATGCCAAAGTATGCTAATTTTGAGGGGCTGGCGTCGAAAAAATTTAATTTTTTGGTCAAAATTTTCCAAAATGTGTCTAAAACGCCTTTTTCGACCTGCTTTGAGGCACAGAAAAATCTAGATCCGCCTTCTAAAGGAAGGTCATTCAAAAATGGATGGTTTGCTTCCCCGCTCTCCTAAATCAGCTACTGACTCGGATACGGTTTTGAAAAATCTGCGGCCCTCGCTCTTTATTTAAAGACTACACTTCAAAATGAAAGTTAGCCAGACCAATCGCAAAAATTTTTTTTGTTCAAGATCACTCCAAAACCAGAACAGATGTTTGTAATTGAACATTTAGCTGGCGCTTGTGTATGTTTATCTGCATGACTCACCTGATGCGCCTTGCAAGTTTTCTTTGCCCTGTTCTTTTTGGGGCGGTGAGTTGTTGTTGTTCTGGGAGTTGGATTGTGGGATGTTGGATGATTTTGTAGACTTGATCGAGCCTCCGGAGGAGCTGCACTCGCCCATGGACAGTCTGTGCATCTGTCGCTTGTCTCTGTCTTTTCCACCCGACTTGTCCTCACGAAGCAACTTCGAGCTCACCTCTGATTGGCTAGAAAAGAGAAACGACTCAATATCACATAGGCAAGCTAGCAAACAGGAAAGCAAATGAGAGCCACCAAAAAATGAAGAAAAAAAATCGAAAAAGCAGAAAACTTCAAAATTTTGTCTTGAATGATGTTCTATTTGCGAAAATCACGTTCAGAATCACAATCGACGGCGTTTAATGAAAAGTCAACAAAACTTATCGAGCGAAAACTAAGCTAACAAAAGTAAGGTCAACTACACTTGAGCCGAAAGCTAAATTGTTGTCTTGACAAATCTGAAAGCCCTCACCCCAAACCTCCGGTAACACACAAAAGGTAAAAACCAAATTTTTCCAACTAACAACCAGTCATTCGGCCAATAAGCTGGTAAAACAAGCCGAAACGATTGGAGCAAAGATTTTAACCAAAAAAAAAACAGTATAGCCGGTTACTGTGCATGTAGCACAGAATGTTCCGTTCAGTCTTATAAAATTACTTTTTCAATTAAGTGTCGTTTTTTCGACGTGATGTGATAAAAGAATCTGAGCAAAAATGTAGAGCTTAGGTATTTTCATCACTCTGTAAAATATGCAAATTGGAAAACAATTTTTGAAGACAAATAACAAGAAAAACAAAAAATACATAATTTTTTTTGATTCCTTAGATGAAGCCTAAACTCACTTCATTTGAGTAAAACTAAACGCTCAAGACTGAAATGAAGCATAAATAAGCTAATGTAAGCAAGCCTACTCACTCGCTCGAAATTAGACAAAACCAAAACTTTAAACCTGTTTTTCTCGACAACTGAAAGGGCTTTAACCCAGTCCGATGATAATTTGTGATAGCTGATTTTGTGTAGAAAACAACAAAAAAATAAAACACACACGAATACAAAGATCCTCCCCATTTTCACTAGTCGGAACAACAAGCATAGCTAGTTACTGTGCAAGTAGCACAGAATGTTCCGACCAGTTTTTAAAAAATACAAGAAAAAAGTGTTTTTTTTTTCTTCAAATTAGTGTATTTTTTTCTGCGTGGTGTGATGAAAGGATCTGGAAAAAAAATTAAGAGCATAGGCATCTGCGACATTCATAGTAAAATAAGCAAATTGGAAAACAATTTTTTTTAGAAACAACCGAATTTTTGACTTCGTATAAATTTTTCGAATTTTCTGATTCCCAGAATGACGTTAAAGAAACTCCCAAAAACTAAATATACTTGAGTAAAATTAAAGCTAGGCACAAATAAGTTACTGTAAACGGCTTAAATTAAGCAAAAATAAGTCTGCTTGCTCGCTTTATACGCTCGAAATTATTCCAAAAATCAAACATTCCAAACATGTTTTTCTCAACACTGAAAAACAATCAGTTGAAAGTTGGAAAAGAGCAATGAACGCAAGGAAACTGAAAAAGACTTGTTTTTTTTTCAAAAACCTTCAACTTTTGAAATTCGAAAAGATAATGGCCTCAGAGCTCTTTGAATTTGTAGAACAATTTATGATGGACACTTTAATGTTAAAATTAGCCCAAGTTGAGAAAACTGGATCAATAGGTAAAATTTTTATTTCGCAGGAAAATCTGATAATTAATTACCATTTTCAAAATTAGAATTCGATCACGTTTTTCGTGACCTTTACAACTTTGCTGTTCGATAGTGGAGTTTGCCTTCCTTTTAAAAAAGGAAATTAACTGAACTTTCCAAACGTGTTTTTCTCAACACTGAAAAACATAATCAGTTGAAAGTTGGAAAAGAGCAATGAACGCAAGGAAACTGAAAAAGACTTGTTTTTTTTTTCAAAAACCTTCAACTTTTGAAATTCGAAAAGATAATGGCCTCAGAGCTCTTTGAATTTGTAGAACATTTTATGATGGACACTTTAATGTTAAAATTAGCCCAAGTTGAGAAAACTGGATCAATAGGTAAAATTTTTATTTCGCAGGAAAATCTGATAATTAATTACCATTTTCAAAATTAGAATTCAATCACGTTTTTCGTAACCTTCACAACTTTGCTGTTCGATAGTGGAGTTTGCCTTCCTTTTAAAAAAGGAAATTAACTGAACTTTCCAAACGTGTTTTTCTCAACACTGAAAAACGTAATCAGCTGAAAGTTGGAAAAGAGCAATGAACGCAAGAAAACTGAAAAGAAGGACATGTTTTTTTTTCAAAAACCTTCAAATTTTGAAATTCGAAGAAAAAACAATGGCCTCAAAGCTCTTTGAATTTGTAGAAAAATTTATGATCGACACTTTAATGTTAAAATTAGCTCAAGTTGAGAAAACTGGATGACCACTCGAAAATCTGATAACTAATTACCATTTTCAAAATTAGAATTCGATAACGTTTTTCGTGACCTTTGCAAATTTGCTGTTCGATAGTGGAGTTTGCTTTCCTTTTAACAAAGGAAATGATTTGAACTCAAAGAAATCACAAGTCAAACCTCGAAAAATCGAAATAAAGCGTGAACAAATTTAAAGACTTTTTCATGGAAAAAAAAAGAAAAAATCAGCAAGACCTTTTTAAAAAACTTTTTTTTAGTTTTCAAAATTTCTTTGAATGACGACTGAATGGGCTTGAATATGACATATCACTCGACCCATTCCGATGATTATTTGTGGCGTGGAAAAAAATTAAAACACACAAAGTTCCTCCCCATTTTTCAAATGATCGGAACAATAATCATATTCAGTGAATTTACAAAACACAAGGATAAAGTGAAAACACTTTCAATTACTACGAAAACAAAAAAGTGCGTGATATGGTAACTCAGCAAAAAACCATAAGTAGACAAACAGGCCAAGTAAAGTATTTTTTAAACGAAATACTTCCCGTTAGAAAAAAACTGGTCCTGACCAGATCTGAACCTAGGACCTTTGCAATCCCAAGCGTAGCCATTACCTCTAGACCAAAAATGCCGCGGAAGTTGAGAAATTTGATTTTATTATTCGCATAGCTATTAAAAGATTCAATTGACTTGTTAAACAAGTTGTTAACCCGAAAAAATTTATATTCCAATTTGATCACGCTTGCTAATCGCAAGCGTTATCAATAGGATAACTTACAGACAAAAATACCATTTATCAGAAAATATGATTGCAGCTTAAAAAAGATAAAACGGAAGAGTTGACCACATTAATAAAGAAAACTTAGAAAAAAAAACAAATCATTTTTACTTTGTTCCCTATACCTGTGTCATTTTTTGAGTTAATCATGAGAGAAACAAAATGATAGCTCATAAAATTAGTTAACAAGTCATATTCGATAGGATTTTTTTTTCGAAAAATGAAATTAAAACGCTGTTGTTTTTTAAAAAAGCTTTTCTTGCCATAGAAGCTCTGGATGAAGATTGAGGGCTGAAAGGGTTTTAATATGATACATCACTCGACCTATTCTTATAATTATTAATGGTACCTGATTTTGCGTGTATAAAATCTTAAGAAAACTAAAACACCTCCGAAAAAAGTTCCTCACCAATTTCAGTGGTCATATGAATAAATTTATATCACGATAAAATGACAAAAGAAAAAATCAAGGTGAAGCAATATGTAACAACTAACATTGGCTTGGGTTTGGAGGATACGAGTATGGTTCCGAATCGGTCGGCCTGCTCCTTGTCCGAATCATCACTCAGTTCGTCCTCGATCGGATCCTCCTCCTTCCCAGACTGCTCCAAATCATCAGCCAAGGAAACCGAACTCTCCGAACCCTGGAACCACAAGCATTTACTTTGCTAATAGAGACAATAATATAAAAAATCATAATCATTCTCGTTTCACGCATATTTGCTATCGATTGAAAATTTAAAAAACAGGCTGATGCGATGAATATTTTTCATTAGAATGTTTTAAAACAGCCAAAAGACAGTTGGAAAAGAGCCAATGAACGAAATACTGAATTGCTTTTTTAAATCTTAACTTTCAAATTTCGAAGAAGAAAATATCGTTGAATTTCGGGAACAATTTATGATTGGCAGTTTTTTGAATATAGCCAAAAGACAGTTAGAAAAGAGTGATAAACGCAAGAAAACTGAAACAAAAACAACTTTTGAATTTCGAAGAAAAAAATAGATGGCCTTAAAGCTCTTTGAATTTTAAAAACAATTTAACATGAACGCTTTTTTGTTAAAATTAACCCAATTTGAGAAAACTGGATCAATAGGCAAAACTTTTTTTTCACTGGGAAATCTGATAATTAATTTCCATTTCGAAATTAGAAGTCGATCACGTTTTTCGTGACCTTTACACTTTTGCTGTTCGATAGCGGAGTTTGCCTTCTTTTTAACAATGGAAATGCACTGAACTCAAAAAAAATCACAAGTCAAACCGCGAAAAATCAAAATTGAAAAAAAAATCAGCAAGACCTATACAAGAGTACTGACTACGTTCATTACTCTTAATAAAGTTAACCCTATCAAGTAAAACTGATCAATAGGTAAAGTTTCCGCTAGAAAATGTGAATATTTAAACCCACAATCAAAATTAGAAGTTGATCACGTTTTTCGTGACTTTTACACTCTTGCTGTTCAATAGTGGAGTTTTCCTTCCTTTTAACAAAAGAAATGAACTGAACTTAAAATCTGAGCTTGAACAAATTTAAAGACTTTCCTGAAAAAACGAAGAAAAAATCATCACGACCTATATGATTTCATCGGATCTTAATTTCATACTACGTTTATCGGCTCTTAAACATAGCCAACAGTTGGTTGGAAAAGGGTGAAAAAGGAAATCGAAAAAAAAGATTAAAAAATTTAATACATTTTTCAACTTTCGAATAAAAAATGTATCACGTTAAAGCTCTTTGAATTTCAAGAATTGTTTATGATTGTCGTTTTTTCTTGTACTAATCCAATTAAAAGAAAACTGATTGAAAATTTTTTTGGGGAGGGAATTCACAAAAATAAAACAAAATAGAAGTCATTCAAATTTGCTGTTCCATTGGCGTTTGTCTTCGCTTTAAACAAAAGTAATGAACTAAACAAAAGTAATCAACAGCAAATGAACTGAACTTAAAAATAAAAAAAACACAAAAAGAATTGAGCACAAACAAATTTCAAGACTTTTCCTTGCAATGATTTTTATTAGTTTTTTTTTCAAGGCGAACTTATATAAATGACAATCACTTCGTTTTTGCCTTTAAAAACAAATTGAAGCAACGGCGAAATAGTTTACTCACAACACTGCAATGCAGATTGGAGGAGGAGGGGTTTTTGCTCTCGGAGGCAGAAGACATTCCACTATTACTCATGTTCTCATGTGAACCCGACGGGGTCAATGACCTCGCAGCCACCAGGGACGCCTTAGTCGTGACCTTTGACACGTCATCGCTCTGCGAACTCCGAAGTCTCTCGCGTGATACACTCATGTTACTACGTGGCATTGGTTTAGGCGAGGATTCACGTGCTTGAGGTGGGTACAGAACTTCATACGCATGAGCATCGGCGTCAAACTGTGCATACACTCCAGAATCGTCAAAACCAGACGTTTTACTCTGTCGCTGGCGGCCCTGGCCCACCTCTGGAACAACTTCGAGTTGGTTGGTATAAATTGGGTTTTGTACCTCTTTCGCTTTAGATGGCCCAACAAGCGACTCATAATCACTGTCCATTCCACTCGCTGTCGTCTGGTTCACATCGTAAGCTAAGTTACTAAGAGCTATTGAGCTTTTCACTTTTCTCACATCGTCCAATTTTCTGCGGTTAGCTAGGTCTTGGTTTGATGAGGAACTGACCCCATATTGGTCATTCGACACCGCGTTGGAGCTCATGTTGGTCCCGTAATCAGGGTTATTAACTGCTCCTTTGCTCTTCACCTGTAGTTGCTGTGAGGTTTCTAACAAATGTTGTCTAGAAGAATTAATCGCCGCTGAGTTGCCGTACTCCGAATTAGAAACACTATTACTAGTAGAAGCAGGCGCGCGTTGCCAATGTTTCACTGGATCCCTGCCCCGGTGGTCTGAGACATGCTGTTGGTGATTGGACACCCCGCCTGGATGTCTGTGATTCCTTTGACTCTCGTCGTCTCTGGACACCGGGATACCTTGAGAAGGTTGACTTGACAAGTTAGGCGAGTGTTCTGCATTTTGAGACCTCATAACTTTCCTGCGCTCTTCCTCTGAATTCGAATAAGAGTTGTTGAAGGCAGAAGTGAAAGAGTCTTCGAAAGTGTAGTTGCTCCGCTTCACAGTTGAAGGTTTGTTCAGAGTCGAGTCCTGGTCACTGTCGACAAAAGGGAAAGAGGGTTGTTGCTGGTGATTCGAACCCGACACTTTACGGTTCCTTGAGTCCCTGTCAATATCCGTACTCGATGTTTCAGTCACAGATCCCTCTAGTCTTAACTGGGCATACCCACTACTGTCTATTTTAGGCTGCATCTCTTCGCTTCTATTAGCGTATGATTTGCGTCTTGCGCCTGGCGAGTGTTCGATATTCTCCACCTTCAGAGGCATGGCCATGGCACTTGAAGACGAATGGACATCGTTACTCCCATTTCTGCTCGATCTGCTCCAGACACCTTTTGAAGAGCTCTCAGTTGAGGTTTCCATCACACTTACGCTTTGTCTCTGTGACGGGTGATTTGAGTGTTTCGAAGGTGTTGAGATCGAAGAATGGCTTCCAACCGATGACTTAGCAGGTTGGGCAGGCAAAGGTCTGTCGCTCATACTACCGGCTATTGAAGACGCTGTTGCATTCCTACTCAAAGGCGCATTCTGTCTCGAAATCGGATGTTGTCTCAAATCTTTGACTGCCGAACTGGGTCTAGTAATAGGTTCTGGCTGCTCTGAGAACTTTCGCGATTTATCTGGAGCTTTGGACAACGGCTGTCGGGATACTGGTTCCGAGAACTTACGAGGATTTTGGTCTACTTTCGTCGTCACTTGAATCGGTTGAGCCTTTCTCGGCAATTCGGGCGTGGGATCGTTTTGGTTTCGTCTTACCGGCGCATTCGCATGTACAGCACTTGCCGGAGTCGAGGATTTATCGAGGTCTGTGGAAACTACATTTTCAAAGTTCTTCGAATTTCGTTTGTTCGCATCGTGGGCTTTTGAATCTTGCGCCCGATTATTTTCAGAAGAAGTTGACGTCGACAGAGGAAAGGGAGGTTTGTGTCCATTTGAAATTTTTCTAGTAACTTCTTCCTTGCTTTGAGAAGGCGTGGAGAGGACAGCGGGACTGTTTCCGTTGAATAAGGGAGCGCTCAGTTTGCGATCTGAAGCATCCAAGTTTACATTTGACTTACCATTAGTTACATCGATCGGGTTATTATTAGAAGATGAAGTTGGAGATTGGTTAGTAGACGGTGTGGGCATGAAAGAGCTTTTCATACAATCAAATGGAATTCTATCTGGCAAAATTTTGCCTTTCAACTTATTGTTATTTTTCGAGTCAATGGGCTCAGAACTTTGTCTATTATAACCAGCCGCGGCCGGCTCTGATGCTTGTTTCAAGTGAGCCCCAGCCGCTCTTCGCTTTAGATACTCCAATTCAGTCATGCGACCTTCATTGCCTGATTCGGCTAAATGTGACGCTAGGTCCTTCAAATGGTCTTCGATGACTGCATTTGTAACTAAAGCGGGTCTCCAGTTTGGGGGAGAGTTGCCATCATTGTTGCCATTTGATTCCGCAGCCGCTCCTTTCGAAGACAGATTTTGGTTTTTCGAAGCATGATCGTCATTCGACCTTGGAGCAGCGTGGGCTCCTGAACTCTCCGGATTCAGGGGAGCTCCGAACCCGTTATGTTGACTGGTTGACCTCGCAGGAGCAGGCGGCTGTTGCACACCAGCGGGTGACGAGTTTTGGGTTTGAAGAGGGTGCGGATTTTGGTGCTTCTGGGAGTACCGCCTATCCTCTTTAGCGGCACAAATAGAAATAGGACTTCAATAAATGGACAGAGCATTTTGGCAAAAGGGCAAGGCAAAATACAGAAAGCGAAAAAAGCATGCAAAGCTATCTACTCGAAGCTGAAGGAACTCAATTGGAACCATTGAAAAACGAAATCAAGTTCAAAGGAGTGTAAACACCAGATCAGAAGCAGCTCCAACACCAGCGATGTATACCCGAACAGAAAATTATACATGCAGGAACTCCTTTGGGTATAATCCGACAGCTGACGATAGTTGTGTCTTTTCACTGATATTCTCTTCCCGAAACTCGAACATGCCAGGTATTTCTTAATCAAGAGAAGGCAACGAAACAAAAATTGAACTGAAAAATTACAATCCGCTTCCCTAGAAATGCAATATTGCTGTCTCCATACAAGACAGCAATAGATTAGTTGTTTGGTTAGTTTTTAGTTTTGCGGGAGGGTACACTTTTTGAGGGATTTGATCCCGATATTTACTTAAAAAGCCATCCTTTGTACTATTTTATAGCATCATTATTCGACCGACCAAACCTTGAACTTTTAAGAGCACCAGTGTATAATTTCCAGAGGGGGGGAGGCGAGGAGGCGACGTGCCAGAAAAGAGCAAACTTTTGGGCAGAACCTAAAATAAGTTCTAAAAACCTACATTTTTGGCCTGTTTATCCACCCCCTCGAGAAAATTATAGATCTACTCTTGGTTTAAGTTAAATTAACAAAAACCTTCATCATCTTTCGTTTTCCTCATTTTTCCTGGTTACGAAGCTATCAAGCAAGGGTCATCTCGACAAAAAAAATTCCCTGTTTAAAAGCTGCAGTCTTCTCGAACGGCCGCTTGAAGCTTTTGCGGCGATCAACCACACATGAGCTCACAACAACACAAAGCGTATTCAATACCACAACTAAGCGCAATCCATAAACTTTCGAGCAAAATACACAAGCGATGTGAATAAATGACGTCACTGACCTCTGTTGTGTTGTTGTTCGTACATCTTGCGGATGTTGATGTCCACTCCTGCGTCATGTCTCTTCATGTTCTGGGGGGCCTGAGCAGCACTGGGACTGTTCATTCTGTTGTGGAAGGGTGCGGCCACGTGACTCACTTGCGAAGACACCACCTAAGGACGCAGAAAATGATTTTAACATACAAACACAGGAAAAAAATGAAGGTTACAGCAATTTGAAAATCTTAACTAGGCGTAAAGTCTGAATTTCCATACCAATAAATTCAATATGTAGGCCATTACAAAATCACAAACATAGCCAACAGACAGTTGGAAAAGAGTAATGAACGCAACTCAACAGAGACAAGGTGACTTGTTTTTTGATAAAATCTCTATTTTCGAAATTCAAAAAATAGACGGCCTTAAACCTCTTTTTGCATTTAACGAACAATTTATGTTAGACTAATTTTTGAGTAAACTGGATCAACAGGCAAAATGTTTATTTCGCTGCGTAATCTGATGATTAATTTCCATTTCCGAAATTGGAAGTCGATCACGTTTTCGTGACCTGTACATTTTTGCAGTTCGATAGAGGAGTTGGCCTTCCTTTTAAAAAAGGAATGAAAAAGAACTTAAAAAAATTAAAACTCAAACCGCGAAAAATCAACATTTCCTGAAAAAAAATCGCTAAGACCTATACCAGAGTACTCTCACGCCATTTTCTTGTTGCTTTTATTGTTTGTTTTCAGTTTAGGATGATGCAAAAAAAATATGCGAAAAGCTTCATCATTCACTCTTGAACATTGATCTTGGTTTTCCGCACTCCTGCACATCAGTGTTTCTCCCTTTGAATCTTTTTAAGAATATATTAGTATATCACGCCTCGACGTCTTTCCTGGAATACAAGGCAAGCTGGGCGAAAAGGTGTCACTCTGAGCTTCGGATAGCCTTTCTGAAGGTATGCATCTCGAACGACGTGATTCCTGATTTTTTTGACGTTTCCCGTCCCAGCCAACGGTTGGTTTAAACACAGCATCGTTCATAATTTTTCAACGCCGTTTGTTGCACGGTTAGCTTGTGTAAGCCGAACATGCATTTAGACTGGCAACTCAAAGACTGACTGAAGCTCGTACTGAGATCCTGAAGTCATGCCCGAACAGTCTTCCCATTGTTATTCTCCATTGCCAGATACAGCTGAGAACGAGCACGAAAACGCTAAAGAATAAAAATCAAGCGAAACTTGCAATGATCGCAGAAAGTCAACAGAGGCCAATTCGTGGCGTCCACGAGACGGTTCGTGTCTAGGGGATATAAAGCCACCAGAGTTTGTGCTCGAATTCTTGCGCAGTTTGACAGATGTGTGACCCAGGTTTTTGCTAACGGAGCAAGTCCCAAAGATACCCTTGCGGACAATGTCCTGAAAGCAGCGCCATTTGACAAGGATGCAGGCTACTGGTTGAAGAGAGCAATCAACGACAGTTCATCAAAATACAGGAAGCATTCAATAAAAGTCTCAACCGCTCGAAAAATGCGAACGAAATCACTGCAAAATATTATGAGAAGTCACGCAATTGTTGGGCTCAGCCAGCCCGCTTGTATGGTGTAGCCAAATTACACAACCAAGGTTTTCTGCCGAAATCTATTAAGTCGCTCCAGGTTCCTGTTATGAAAACTTGACACAGTTATTGTCAAGATGGTTGCAACGCTTACCGGCGCCAACATCGAGGCTTCCACTGTCAAATTTAAGCTTTCGCCGAGGAATAGAACGAGGTATTCAATTCCCTTGAGGTGCAGAGCCTCTACACTATTAGTGAGTAGATGCAATTAGTTAGTGAGTAGATCCAATTAGCCGCTGATATTATTTTCAGACAAGACAGAATTCCTGAGTTTGAGAAAGCCACCTTTATTGAATTGATGAATCTGGTACATCGACAACTGGTTCACTCAAAGAGATGATCTTGCGAAGGGCTCCAAGCTTGCTGTTCATTTCGCCAACTTTTGAATGAACAGGTTCGAGGAGAATTCTCCAGTCACTTTCAAAGAGACTTTGCCGAAGACAGCGACAGTCCCGATATAAGGCGCAAATCAAATTAGCTTTGCGGGATTTGCTCAGATGCGGTCACCACTCACAGGCACTACTCGATTCAATGATGTAGATGCTGCTTTTGTGTTCATCGCACTTGTTCCAGCTTGTCAGTCGCTCGAGTGGTGAAGATGATGCCCACATCCTGAAACTTTCTAAGCCTCTTGCCAAACTGATCACAGATATTGCCGCTCTACAGTAGCACCATTATCGGCCGCTCTTTCTGGGTGGTCGGGCGGGAAGCATCATGACTCTTAAGCGCACTAGCAGACGCACTCTACCATATTGTCTCAATCGTACGCGTAATGATGGGATCCACGAACTGAGGCTGGTACTGATTCTGAGGCAAGTCTTTTTTGAGCTTCTGTAGGCCACTATCGAAAGCAACCCAAGTAGAAGTAGCGTGAAGTATCCTGTGGGCCATTACCTCGACAATATTCCGCTTGCACTTGACTGAGGCACGTGCGTGATAGGACAGGTAAAGACCGGTTTCCGTGGATTTGTGGTACCAACTAGCGGACACATGGTCTTTTTGCGTTCATGCATCATGTCCAGAAACGGGATCTTGATGTTCACCCCATACTCAATAGTGAGCTTCAGACTCTGGTGCAGCGCATTGACAGCTTCAAACAGGGCTTCAATGTTACCAGACTTGATGGAGCGGAATATGTCGTCAACATATCTGGAAAACACTTTGGCAGGTGCTGTAGGCACTTCAGGAGTGTCTGTACTGACGGCACGACAGCGACAGATGTTTGAGACGGTTTTTCTGATCTCAGCGCTGCAACGCCCATTACGTCGGACAAACAGCCCGCCCCTTCTGAACATGACTGAAGGAGCATCTCAAGACAACAGCACCCGTAGGAGAGCACCTTAGGGACAGACTGCGAAGGCGTCACAAGATACGAGACAAATACCTGCCCAAGCTCACGATCTGATCACCCTCTTGACAATGGAGGCGTTCGATGTTCAATGTAGGCAACCACAGTTAAACAGCCGCGTCTCTATGCTCTAATTCTGAATGTTGCGTCTCTTTTATAGAAGTATAGAAGTCACAGATATTTCGTTGTTGCTTTTGTTTATTTTATAATGCTTTTTGTTTTCAGTGTCTGATGACACATACAAGTTATGCAAAAAGCTTCACAATTATTTCTTGAACATTGATCTTGGCTAAGTTCAACATAACATAGCTGCTTGGTACCAGCTCAATTGAACTTTTGAAATCCGACATCAACCGTGTATTACCTGTGGCTGTGCTTGTTGAGGCACGAAGGACGGTTTGTCTGTCATCTTCTTGAACTGTTCTCGGATGGTCTTGATGGTCTCCGGGTTGTCCTCGTCACTGTCTTCCAGATTACTTCCCTCGTCCGGCCGAAGGATCAAGTCTCGCTGCAGTTTACGACTGTGTCCTTGAACAAATCAAACAGAACATGTTATTGATAGATTTACCTACACAAATCCACTGGCTATCTTTCGAAGATCAGCCGTCCAAATGCAGTCAATCTGCCAATTCGGTTTATATAGAATTTTAGGAATCTATTTTTTCTCTCAAAACTCCTGCGGTGCTATGTTACAATAGGTGGTAATTTTGAGCATGTATTTAATTTCAGAACAATTATGCATCATATAGTCATTTCATTTTCAATCAAGTGTTTTACTACTAAGATAGTTTTTGTAAATACATTACTCTGCCAAATGAAATTCTATTCAAAAACTCACATTTTACGCTTCTTTTGCCAAAAAGTTTGGCTTTTGAAATTAACTATACATAATGTGCGAAGTATAACAAAAAGCGATCCGGCTATTGAAACTGTACCTACCACCTATTGTAATATATCACCACTCCCACTCCCACACTCTGGAAATATAATTTTTGAAGAAAAAAAAACTAATTTTTCAACCACAGTTTGACAGCTGTTTGCGAGCCAAGAAAAATTTCTCTCATATAAACGAGTAGAAAATTATTTGAATTATTTTCAAAATCACCGGCAAATCCTTTCAAAATCACCAGCTGCCCTGAATTCGTTTATTAAAAAATTGACCCGTTAAAGCACCTTTGGTCTTACATTTCAGCTCGAATCAACATTTGGTATTTTGCTCCAAACTTTGGCCATAGCAAGCACCTCACAACTAAAACTATATTCTAGTAACTAAAAGTTAATTATCCTCTCCAAGGAGGTTGGTTCACTTTGTCGAACAATTTATTCAGTACACTCGAACTTGGTACTTTGTTCTGGTTGTTTTTGTTTTTCACTATCAAGTACTTTTGGTCCGTTATCTTCAAATTTCTTGGCTCGCTTTTCGAGTTAGGCTTCGGCATTTCTGGGGGTTTGACGCTGATCTTTTTCGGCTCGCTTTTTACCACGACCTGTTTAGATTTCCTCGCCCTCAGTTCCTCTTCCTCTTTTCTCTTTAGCCTACCTTTAGTCCTAGCTACTCTCTCAATTGCTTGTCGTAATTCCACCTGCGCTCTCTCAACATTGACATTCTTTACAAATCGCGAGTAGGTCAGCAAGTTTTCAGCACTTGGTCTTTGTTTGTAGTTCTTCTTCAGGCACAGTTTCAGGAACTCTTTGAACTTGTCCGACCAGTCACGAGGGTTCTTCAATTTAGGGGGTTCGTTACTGGGTATTTTGAACAACGCTGTCATCGGGTGCAGGTCGTTCAAGGGGGGTTTGCCTTCAGCCATTTCCATGGCCGTGATCCCCGTGGACCATATGTCGCACTCGAATGTATAAGATTTGGAGGGATCTTTCTCGCATTCTATCACTTCTGGTGCCATCCAGTAGGGGGTCCCGATGAAAGTGCATCGCTTCCCAACTGTCTTGTCCAGTTTTGCACTCACCCCAAAGTCAACTAAACAAAGACCACAAACACTTCAAAGTCATAACGTAGTGAACAGGCTATGCCAACGTTTTAACTGTTTTCATGTTTTTAGACAACGTTTTTTCAAAAGTTTTTTTCTGGCGAACCATCAAGCTCTAATTCTATCAAACGGTAAAACTTGCATTTCTCATTTTTTGAGAGCAGGTCTGGCTCTCTTCCCAAATTTATCCCCTAACTACTAGGGAATCCAAAAATAACGGTTAGATGCTCGCTCAGAGACGCATGAAAACAGGCTTAATTTAGTCTTATGGCGCTCTCCCAAGTAATGTTTTAGAAGAATTCATTATTTCTAGTTTTGTTGGTATAATGACTTCACATGGACACAATTTACAATTATTATATTCCGCCAACGTTTTAACTAGCAGGTATTAGACTATTTCCAGGAGTTTTCTGTGATAAATAATGAAGTTAGTTTTGTACCGTCTTTTTAACTATCACAATTTTTCAACCCTTCCATAAAAATGAGGAATCGGCAATATGAAGTAGGCTGCGAAACGTCTAAAGCGAACGAGAAAATGATCATCATTATTCTTAGCAAAAAAACTTTCTCATATATATTATTTCAAGTCATTTTAAACTTCTGTGAACTCTTTAATTTCGGTTCCATTTCAAGTCAAGTCTGTTGCAACTTTCATCCTCAAATTACTTTAAGTTAATCAGCAGTATCATCAAGTTATTTTCTGGCAAGCAGCGACATGACCATTTTCGAGCCAGTCGAAATTCTTCATTTAATTTTAGAACTTAAATCGCGATATTATAGGTTGGAACATTTGAAATTACATGTAGTACCAATTTAGCTGATTCACAATACAATGCAGCTACACGTTATGAATGACTAGGCCATATAAAGAAGTGTTAGTATTACCATCAGGCTCAAGCGATTGCATTGAGAATGGTAGTAAATCTATCTATCAAAACAGAGCGAGCTCTTTGCGGTTGATTCTGTTTTGGTCTTACGGTGTGTCTAAAAATACACTTCAGCGGCGGTGCAGTAGTAACAAGTCAATATTTGTCCACGGAATTCTTATTAGAATCCTTTCCATGTAACCGTTTGAATAAAAGCACCAACAGTGATCAAACTGCGCAGAAGCGGCTGGTCTGTAGACATTATTCACGATTACGTAATCGCACGTTCTATTTCAGCTGTAAACAAGTAAACACTGACTGCGCCTACAAATAAACTTAGAGCGCAGTATTCGAAATATCTGCAATGAACACCAGTCGGATAATTAAAAATAGGTCAAACTTCTTTGACCGATTCGATTGAACTAATTGCTCAGCAGAGCCTAGAATTTGAAATGGCCAAAGTTTGCTTTATGTTGCTTAGATGCCACTTCGAGAATAATATTAACAAAGGCGAAGCGGAGTTTCGCACCTTCTGCGAAGCCGCAGAGACGTAGCATGCCAAACAGCTGACAGATGGAGGCGTCTATTTTAGGCGAAAACTATATTAGGCGAAAATAAAAGTGTTGCAATTAGGCGAAAATTTTGATTAAAAAAGTGTACATTTTGGCAGAAACTGTGAATGATTACTTACGTCATTCCATTGCTACATACAAAATACACGTAATATTATTCAAACAGCAAATCAACGGTAAAATAGTGACCACTGCAGTCGCGTCAACGTGTAGCGAGCTTGCCAACAGAGGGTAGGACTCTTTACGAAAACAAGAGACAATTATCGCCGCGCGACCTTGAACCGACAAACGGTTTTGTAGTCTATATCGTTTGGAAAAAGTGTTTAGTTTTGATAAAATAAACACTTTTATTATCAAAATGTTCGCCTAAATTCAACGCTTTTATTTTCGCCCAATATATTTTTTGCCAAATATATACAGCTCCCTGACAGATAATGAGACTTAAGCAGCAAAAAATCTAACACAAATGGCAAAAATTGGCTATCGAAATTTTTCATGTTTGCCTCGATTTGCATTGAAAAAAATTCATTTTAAAAAATATGCGAAACAGACAATTGAATGCGAAATTAGCATCGAAGACAAAATTCCAAGCGGAAACAAAGCAGACATTACTCGAGCTGCCCTATGAGTGAAAAAACAAACATTTTCCAAGCCCTCTCAAAACACACCCATATAAAAATCCTTTATCTTTTTTCAAAGCATGCAAAAAATGACCACTGAGCCGATATATATAGATCGAAACCTTTGAAGCTAAAAAAAATGAAAAAAAGAAATCGAAATTTTAACAAATCGGAGTTTGTAAATTTAAAACAAATAGAAGCGTATAGAATATAACGAGTATTTAGAATGCAGACATTCTGAATCAATGACTGCTTGTTGATATAAGTACAGGTTTGGAGATGATCACCATTACCACCCAAGTTGTATCCTACAATGCTATTTACCGGAAAAGCGTCTATAACCCGGTTGCAACGCTTTTGCTAATCGCAAAAGGGTATAATAAAAACTGTGATAATAAGTTTACTTGCAATTTTTCGATCTTGAAAATTTTTACACTTCAAACAAGCAAGGCCTGAATTACACAAAAGGCGACAATTGCAACAAGAAAAAAAACTACAATTAAAAGAACAATTTCTACTTGCAAATATTTACATTACCTTAACCAAAAAAAAATCCTTTTCAAACCATCAAAATAACGGTACTTCAACATCAAAACTGTTCAAAATTTTCAAGCTTTTGAACAATTTCGAAAAACCAGGATCGAAAAGTACTTTTGTATACAAATCCGAAAGAGCTCATCACAAATAGCAAAACTCGAAACATGATAGACAAGTAAATGTAAGTACAAAATTGAAAGTTTTGCAAAAAAATTAAAATTTTTGCAAAAAATTGTGCATCTTAGACTGAAAATTCTTTCTTAGCGGATAAAATCTTCGGAAAAACTATTCAGAAAAAGGATAGAAAAATCCTTTCTCAGCAGAAAAAATCTTCGGAAGAACTATTTATCAGTAAAAATTGCTTAAAAATTGAAGAAGCTGTTTTTTTAAGCTTGACAAGGACGAGGGAACCCCAGGGAACAACTAAAAAGGAATTGGATGAAAATTTCTATAACACAGAGGCGAAGCTCAGCAACACTTGCGACACAAAAATTATAGTAAAAAAGCACCACGACGCACAAAAAATAGCTAAAAGGTCTTCGAAAGATGTTACAACTGAAGGAGGAACTATAAAAAAGAACAAATATAGCACAAAAAACTTTTTCTTCATGTTTATATTTATTAAAAATTTCTACAGAGGTCCAGCTACAAGGATTCTGAGCGTTGTAAATTACCTGTAACTTTCAGGGAAAAAATAGTTAAATAAGACGACAGGCAGTAAGCTGAATTTCAATCAGAAATGTTCAACGAAAATAACCTATGTCTAAGTCGACAACCATGAGGCCGAAAATTTATTAGCAGAAAATTAATATCGGAATTCTATAATTATGCATAGTGGTTTGAGTTCTAGAAATTGCTAAAACCAGTAGTAACTTGTAGCCAGGAGTTAAGTTTGAATTTTCGTGAAATTGAACATGTCGGCAGCATCATAAATGATTCAATTGCATTTGTGAAACAAGCTGTCATCCCGAAAAAAGTATATTCCTATTTGATGACGTTTGCTGATTGCAAGCGTAACACAGAGGCGATGCTGAGCATCGCACCATTTGCGATACAATACAAAAAAATCTAAAAAAACTATCTATTATAATGAATAAGCCTAGTTTTGAAACCAAACCATGCCGAGACAATATAAGAAATACTTAGCATCGGAAGGTAATTAACCGAGCGGTAACAAATACCTTGGCAGAAACCTGTAAGCCAAAAAAAAACTCAACAAGATTTAAGACTTGCGAAAAGTCCTCGTCGCCCTCAAAACACTTTGCTCGTGAAATGAAACAGTATGAGATAACTAAGCCTGAAACCTAAGAAGCCGAAAAAGAAATTTAATAAATTCAAAAAAAAGTTAAGTTCAACTAGAGGTTACTATGCCCCCTCGCCCTCAAAACAGACACGCACACACACTTTTTTCGCTCGTCGAAGGACGCAATATGAGGCTGAGAAGCCGATAAAACATAGGCCGAAACCTATCAAGCCGAAAAAAAAAGAAAAACAAAACAGCGATGAAAAAATTTTTGTCATGAAGAATGTGAATTATAATTTCTATTAAGATGTTTAGAATTTTGTTCAATCAACAGATTAGCATAAAAAATATGTTTCCATTGAAACAACTCAAAATTAGGTCTTTAAGCCAAAACAATATAGGCCAAAATCATTTGGGCAGAATACAGTTATAAATTAAAAAACGAAAAAAAAGAAAGAAATATATTCGATGTCAAGTCAAGGTTTAAAAAATTACAAGGTAAATCAGAACACTAAAAGCAACTATATTGTAAAAAAAACTTAAGCAAATGATTTCATCGGATGATAAAAATAAAGCGAAAACTAAGCCGAAAAAAAGTAAACCCAAAGCGACGAAGTCAAAAACTCAAAAAATTACCAACGAAATATCATGTTAAAACTTGAACTGCAATTTTATTGGAGTAACACTACAGTGAATGCAATACACCAATGAGCGCAAAACATAGCATGCTGAAATCTGTGGAAAAAGTTGTTTACGGGAAAAAAAAGTCTAGTACAGTTGAAATGACGATTTGCGAAAAAAAATATTGACAGTGCAGTGCTTTCTCCTTTCTTTCTTTAGCCCGATTTGATCAAATCTGTTCGTAAACAAGGGTAGCCGGTTACTGTGCAAGTAGCCCAGAATGTTCCGACCATAGTCTTAAAAAAATACCTGTTTTAAGACTATAGTTTTAAACCTGTTTTCCTCGAAACTGCAAAAACTTTTTTAAAATCTTTTAATGCGGTTCAAATCATGACTGCAAGGGTTTTGATATGATATATCACTTAACTCAGTCCGATCATTATTTGTGGTACCTGATTTTCTGTGGAAAACAAAAAGAAAAAACTAAAACAGACCCGAATACAAAGTTCCTCCCATTTCCAATGGTCGGAACAACAACTTTCCTAAAAACACAAGAAACCAGAAAAGTAAACATAAACGTACTGCATCCATTAAAACTGAAATGTGTACCGCCTTCGTAGACTCCTAAATTGTTTTTATACCAGAGAATTGCATCAAAAATTAGACACTCAATTTACAAGACACTTGCTCTCGAAACAAAAAAGTTGAAACAAACACAGTTTTTTTCTGCAGTTTTGAACAGCAACGGAAAAAGCCTGTATCTGTAAGAGCATGCTTTATTTCAGAGAGATCTCAGACCAATTTTATTATTTACTAAATCAGAACAAATCTTCGACAGAACACTTCGTAATAAGGCTCTAAGAACCTAAACCACCGAACCCAAAACCAGTTCACTTTACAAAACAGTTAGCTGGCTAAGATTGCATGAATACAGTTGCAATGGTAGGTAAGCTCTACTGGAACATTAGAGCTCCTTGAAATGCAATACTTGAAGTGATATAATACGGACTCCGGCCAAGTCAATAAATATACAGAGAGCTACAGAAAAGGTAGTAGATTGAGTTATTATATTCGTTATACTTGAGGAGGAAATTGAGAATGTGGCTGTGGTTACTGGAGATAGAGACAGATTTAGGGAAAGACAACTGGCGCATTAATTAGGTCGAATTTAGCTCATAGCCGGAACAAATGTAGTCTTCACTTCGCCCTGCTCTGGCGCAAGGCCAGACAAAAAAACCACTCGAGTACTATGTGAAGGTGACGTAATACGATAAGCGAACAAGAGAGGGAATCTTTTAGCGTCAAATGGCGAAACAATTCCAACATAATTTTTTCAATGTTTATAAATTCTCATACATTTAAAGCGGCACTTCTACATTAGCAGGGACGTATTTCGGATTATCTGACGGCAATTCGCAGTTATGTTTTATGATATTTTTTGCCAACTTTTTGTGCACCAAATTCAAAACTAAAAACGTTTTAAATATACCGTTTGAAGATGTATTTTCAGGTCTTTCCCCTTTAATTTAAGTTTTATTGATTTACTGATACCAAAGGCATTTCTAGACAAATTTAAAGACAAGTCAGACCAAAAATTCAAGCCATAGAACAGTACTACGTCATAGAGTCCTGGGACGGCGAGCAGGCCAAATTTCTGAGGCGAGGATGCATTATCAGAGACTAGCAACGGATGAACACTTGAGGTAATACGAAAGGGTAAAATGGTACTGACCTAACTTGACCTCAGCCTTGTCTGTGAGGAGTATGTTCTGGCCCTTGATGTCTCTGTGGATGACCTTCATCGAGTGGAGGAACTTCAGACCCTCCAGGATCTCCCTGGAAGCATAGCCGATCCAATCCTCCTTGAAGTAGTGCTTCCCATTGTTGCCTCCATCTAAACACACACATGTAATAATACACTACGCTTAGCTCGGGTAATCAAACAAATCCTACATTTACAGTTAGCTAAAAGGATCTAGTTGAACTAAAAGTACATTTGGAAGTTTGAGATCTATGAACAAATTGAACTGCATCAAAATGCCATAGACTTCATAATAGAAAGAGAACAAAAAATGACCTGACATTTTACATCATGTAAGTATATGTTCCATTGGACTCAAGTGAAACCAACTTACGCTTTATGAGGTCGAAGATTGAGCCTCCGGCACAGAACTCCATAGCGATCCAGATCTGTGCAACTGGCCCTCTTTTGATGTAGCAGCCGAAGTACCTGGCTATGTTGTTGTGGTCCGAATACTAGACAAACAGAACCCTTATTCGAAGCCGATTCAAAATCTAACCCTTTATTGCCACTAAATAATTAATTTCTATTGCCAAAGAAAAGGGAAGGAACTTTGATTCGGGAGTTATTGAGTACCGCCAGCTCGCGAGGAGCTGTTGGTGACGAAAAGCTATGAAAAAGAGATAAAAAACTAAGTTTGCAGCATTTAAAATTTAGTTTGAAGCTTCCCTTAACACTTCTGCTCCAAAAATCCAATAAAACTCCGAGTCTTTTTTCATAAAGTAAGGTGCTAGTATATTCTTTGCTGTTATTTTTGTTGAAACTTCTTACTTTGAAATGATTTCGACAAATACATTTCGTTCTTCTTTCTCAATAATTCTACAAATTAAAAGTAAAAAAATATGTGAAAAAATTCGTTTAAAAAACTAATTATGCTCTAGAACCATACATTTTAGTTCCTCTCTCTGCAACTCGCCTCGCACAAAAAAAAATGCCATAAAATCTCACTGCAGTCTATGTTGATTGAACTTACCCAAATACCTAAGGTATATAGTGGGGCAATTACCTGACTGAGGGTGTTGACTTCACTGACTATCTCGTGGACCTCGTCGGGCTGCAGATTCATGGCCTTAATGGCCACCATCTTAGCTTTGTCCTTGTGGATGGCCTGCAAATACACAAAAAAAAACATTAAATTAACCTCGTAACATTATCCAATTAGAGAGGGCAAAATGTTCGACAAAAACACGCCATAACTATAAAACCTCCAGGAACAAGAAAAAACACAAGCATATCTCAAAAACTTGTGTACACTTAATTAAAACAATTATCGCTAGCTAATTGGGGCATAAGTTTATCGGTACGACTTCGATACCTACTCGTGCATATGGGATTTAGATTTAACTTCAGATTTAAGTGATTATTACAGATTGGCTAGTTCTTACCGTGAACACTTCTCCATAGGTCCCAGCTCCTATTCTCTCTTTAATGGAAAAAGCCTCTTCTGCATTCTGAAACAAAAGTTGAAACTATATACAAAAAAAATTTTTTTTTAAATTTACCAGCTGTACATCGTGTAGCTTCGACGGTAAGAACGCCTAATTCGTGATGGAGGAGCTATTTAATATAACAAAGCCACCAGACAGTTGGAAAAGAGACAATGACATTTCCAGAACGATTTATGAGTTAACCCAATTTGAGATGACTGGATCAACTGGACAAATTCTCATTCCGCGTGGAAACATCAAAATTAACATCCACTTTCGACACTGAAAGCCACTATATTTTTGCTTCATTTCAGCTTTCATTATTCGAGAGCGTAATTTACTTTCGTTATAGCAAATTACCTGATTTGAACTTGAAAAAAATTAATCAAACCAAAAATGATCTAATTAATAGCAAAAAAATCAAATACAAATTGACATTTAATAAAGTATAGGAGAAAAAGTAATCAATCCGAAAAAATATGCCAATCAAAACCAGAATTTAAAATAAAACAACACGACCTTAATAAGTGCAGACAAATATGATCAAAATTGAAAAGTCGAAGACAGAGGCGAAGCATAGCTTCACACCACTTGCGCCACAAAACAAGAAAGCGTTGAGTTAAAAAAACTCGAAAATATCAAAAACTAATCTATCAAAATGAATAAAGCTAGTTTTGCAACGAAAATGTGCTAAGACAATACAATGTAAAATTAGCCTCTGAAGAAAACATACCAAGCGGCTAAAAACAAAACCGAAAATATTGTAGCAGAAAAACTCAAAAAGATTTAAAAAAAATTACTAAGTCCCCCTCATCCCCAATACACTCACACAGTCGCACATAAAACCTTTTTCCGATCTTCAAACGACCTACAACGAGGTGATATAGTGTAAGCCGAAATCTATCAAACCGAAAACAAAACTTAAAAAAGACTTTAAAACTTACAAAAAATTATCAAGTCCTCGTCACCATCAAAACACACATATGGTCACAAAAAAACTTTTTCGTTCGTCGAACGACGCAAAATGAGGCCACTAAGCAGATAGAAAAAGTCGCAATGAAGTTCACAAAAAAAATGAAATTCGAGCTGGTACAATCACAACCAACATGGAAAGCGAATTTCGAATAGAGAATATATTTCAAAAGATAACATGCACAAAATACTTGCCAGTAAACTTGTACAACATGCACAATAAACTTGTTGCTTATAGAGGCTTCCAGGAAATGAGCCCAGTGAAATCAGATTTTTACGGGAAATAAGTCTAGAACGCGGTTGCTGTACACTTGCTATCGCAAGTGCAAACGAAATCAAAATCAACAATTGTCTTGAATGAAAATCAATTTGAAGAAAAGATGTCAAGAAAAAAATCACCACCGTTAAACAAAAATTCAAAAAAAAACATCGAGCGGCAACAAATCCAAAAATAACTGGGTGGACAATTGTACCCGAGACAAATTGTTGTCATGAAAAACTCTGAGCTATAAAATTTGAAAGCCGAAGTTTTCAAGTATCCTTGAGGAAACACAAAAAATTAAAATGAATTGCTTAAATCTTGAAAACTGTGAACTAAAAACGGTTTCTTTTCAGCTAGGTACCAACCAAATTCAATTTCGGTGAAGGAACACTGAAAAAGAGGAATTTTTTCACTGTCACATTATAAGATAAGAACTTATATCAATCTCTGAACAAACAAGTATCAAAGCTTGAACATTTTCGTTAAAAACGACATCATCAGAATCACTGAAAAACAACAATCATCGTAAACCATAAAAAAACGGAATAAATAGATATAGCGCAGTTTAAACAACAAATGAATTAGAAGCGCAGTGTTAGCTGGCGCTGTCGGTACTCCCCGCTGATTCAGGGCTTCAGCTTTCCTCGAGAAAATTCTGACACTTTCACACACAGAGGCGAAGCAGAGCTTCGCACCACTTGCGATACAACACAATCATAAAAAGCATGGGTCGAAAAAGAAAAACATTGAAAAAATTAGGTGAACCAAAATCATCGTACGTCTCAATGAAAGACACGGGGCTCAGCTAAAGCTGGAGGTAAGTTATTGATATTTTTTGATTTAGTTATTGATGCGGGACGAAATGCTTAATTTCAAAAATTAGACGTTGCCCAAAACCTTAGCTGTTTCTCAACTGAAATAAGTGAGAAAAGTGAAAATTTTAGAGATTTATTAACTTTCTCAAAAACCTAGCCTTTCTCTTACAAAAAAAATTAGGAGCAGCCACTTCTGCAGGAAAAATTCGCGCAACCGCTTCTTTCGATTGAAATTTCCATCTCAGATTGATAGGGTACTTTCAAAAAGTTTCTACAAAATAATAAAAATTCAAAAATCAGTATTTTTTCTGCTAAACGCAGGTAGTGACCGTTAAAGTAGGGAAGATTCTCAAAATCACGCTTCTCGATTGAACATTTAACCTGAGAATTGGCAAGCAATTTTCGAGTCGAGTAAACAAAAACCTTCCAAAAACGGTCCAATTTTTTGAAAACTTTCACTTGTTTAATTTTTTGAAAACTTTCACTTGTTTAAAGGCCATAACTTTTTTATAGATGCAACTGGGCGTAGCAAATTGTAAACTTTACCTTCCAACAACTTGTTAAGCCGATTAAACCAATGATATCAGTTTTGGTAGAAGAGTTATCGAGAAAAGACCAAAAAAACTGTCAACAAATCAGAGAGTTGACATTTCCGACAAACCTCAACAAATTCTAAAACGCTCAAAAGATTGACTTTTCCGAGAACAATAACTTTGCGTAAAAAAATTGTGCAGGCACTCCTAATGCAGGGGAGCTTCCAGCTACCCGTTATATCCATTGAACCCACAACCTCAAACTAGGCCATTTTTTTTAAAAATTTGAAAAGACAAAAGAAATCAAAAACTTGACTATTCCGAGGGCCATAATTATTATATATAGCTTTTTAACTCCGTTCTAATTATTGAAACCCAAATATCACATTTAGTATGTTAGTTTTTGAGAAAACGAAAAAAATATCTATCCTTCAAAGAGTTCCCCCCACAGACATTATCGAAGGCTGTAGACAAAAGACGAAAGCAAAAAGAGACCAGGGGAGTATGCAGTCTTTCTACTTTACCCTTTTTTGAAATTCGGTAGAAGGGTTTTCGGGATTTTTTTTTTTTTGCAAAAAGTATTAGAAGCTTCCGAAGCGTCTCAAAAAAAGTAAAATAAAAAACTTTCATAATACCTTTCATAACACTTTCATAATACCTGTTTTTATTAAATAGGAATTACAGGCAAACATACCAAGCAAGACATTTCAAATTCAAATTAGCAACTGGACAAAACTTATGAAGCGGAAACGAGGCCGACAATCTTTGATCAAACACCAGTTAGCCGAAAAAAAAACTTATTATGTAAAAAACTTTTAAAAGTTTCGAGTCCCCCCTGAAACTACCCTGTAGTAACTAGTACCCAGCCAGTAGTTAAATTTGAATTTTCATGAAATTGAGCAAGTCAGGTGAGGAGCATGTCAAGTGATTCAACTAATTTTGTTTAACTACCTTTTAACTAGAAAAAAGACTATATTTCAGTTTGATAAGGCTTGCTAATCGCAAGCGTTAACATTGCTAACAGACAGCTGGAAAAGCGGTTAAGAATTCAGTAAAGTATGATAAAAAACAACTTCAGAATGAAGATTTTTTTCTATTTTGAGCTGAACAGAAAAAAATTCCATTCTGAAGTTCTCGAATTTCGTATATTTATGATTGGTTCATTTTTGATAAAAACTAATACTATTTAAAACACGAAGAAGATAAAAAGAGGATTTTTCATCCCGCTGGAATATCTTAAAACGAAAATCAACTTTTGAAACTGAAACTCATCAAACCCGATGAAGTCAAAGCCTTTCAAATACACTCTAAATACATTGCTTTAATGTGGCAACCTGACGCGCCTACGCCACAACATTTCTCGTTCTTTATACACTTACTTTCAGGTTTTTCAGATCCTTCACAGTGATGGTTTTGGGCTTGTTTGAGGAGCTCATTCTGCTCTTCGCCTGTGACAGGACAGGTGAATGGGTCACATAAGCTTTCTTTCAATTTTTTTTAGGAATTTCTACTTAAATAGTTGCTCCTTGTTTGTGTTGTGAACTTATATTTGGTCATTCTAATCTAAAAAACGTCAATTCGAAACCTTTCAGAAAAAAAACATTGCAACAAAACGTTCAAAATTTTCACTTCAAAAAAGAAATAGGAATTATAATCAATATTCGGGACTCAGATGAAATAAAACAGTGGATTTAGTAAGCTAGAAGGGGTTTTCTTTTTAACTAATTTATCAACATTGAAATCTAGCCGACTGCACTTGACTTCACTGCTCAAGCAAGCGCCTGCATTTTTTTCGAGAGTTTTTCGCCTTTTCATAAACACTTCGACACAGTCTATTTCAAACACTTCTATGATCTCAGTTTTTGTTTCCTTTAGCTTCGCTTTTCGCTTCCTAGAAATTTTTCGACTAGGAAAAACTTTTCTTTCGCCTTTTTTGACTATTTGAAGTTGATCCATAACCTCGTTGGAATTGAATATTGGAAACAGGTTCAAACTATGAGCCGTATAGATTCTAAACAGCAATTCTGGTTTCACTAATTTCTCCATGATCATAGCTAACTCAGGCTCAGAGATTTCTTCTTTCACTAGGAACGCAGAAAATATTCGGGCAAGAGTTTTTCGATCGAGCAAGTAAACGCTGTGCTGTTTCCCATACCGGTTCCAAATGTTCAACCGATCACGACTACTTTGGTTCATTAAAGATATTTGCTCATTTAAAAAGGCTCCTGCTAATTCTACATTTCGATAAGTATCAAAGAACGAAATGAAAGATTCTGCATCCTTCTTAAGCGTAGCAGATAGATTAGTTTTCGACTCAACAGCAGGTTCAGATCTACTATCGCTGTGCTTCCGAATTACGCAGAAGCAGCATTTGCATTCTTTGCCGCTGCGGCACAGGTTACAAGGAGTATATGCTGTTTTTGAAAATGTTATAACTGTTTGTTTGTTGAGAAATGCGCGAGTCACATTTTGGCGTTCGGCAATCTTGGACGAATTTTTAAAGTGAGAAAGATTTAAGCTGTCACTGTTCTCTTTGAAACATACATCGAGTGCAGAAAAAAGCAAACCGCGTAAAAAATGCCGGGTTTGAATTCCTAAAAGATCAGCTGCAGATTCGCTTATTCTGTTCTTCTTGGTATCTATAATATTCCAATTGAAACAGAAATCCATAGAACTCTTAAAAGGTAAAGTAGACTATATGGAGCATCACATCACAAAAAACGAGATCTCAAAAAGTTCTTTTACTCCAATCTGGTTCAAGGTTTAAATCTAGCAACAGCAGTCGGCTTTTTCCAGTTTCCCACCCCCTTGTATAACTACAAAATAAAACTGTTCCAAAATTGTTCACGCGGCCTTTTGCAAGTACCTGTAAAAATTTGTTCACCTGTTCCCGTTTTAAAGCAGTTGATAACATGAAAAATTATTCTGCACATGCGGACGAAATTAAACGCAAATTCAGGATTTTACCCTATAAAATGCCTGTTTTCAATATTATTCTAATTGTAAAAGAAATCCATAGAACTCTTAAAAGGTAAAGTAGACCTGGTTTCAATGTCAACTTTGCAACCAGATTGAGAAAACGATCACCTGCACAGAATAACCGGAGTTGAAATTAACTCAACAACACTGAACTGATATGAGGCGTCGTGTCTATCATATACTTATATAAAGCTGCGCTTTTGTTCTCTTAGCTATATAAATAAAAAAAATTCTTCGCAAGTAGTTTTATCATTAACAGTGCCGAGTACACAGGAAGCCTTCGCAACCTGTATTGCGAGGGAGATTCTCTGCATAAGAGAACTACTGCCCTGTGTTCCTCGGTACATAAGAAGTTTAAAATAATAATTAAAACGTTTTCGCACATTTTGTGCATCATCAGGATTAAAACTTTCTTCAATATTTACAAAACGATCAAAGATCTGAAACAATGACAAACATGTCTAAAAAAGCACCGAAATTTGTTTTTCCAATCAAATATAAACAACTCTTATTACATAATAAATTACGTAAAAATTAATAACATTTTCCTGTAGATTTCTGAGACTTTTTAGTTTTTTGATCTTTCATTTATATTAAATTTCGATTTTGGAATATTTTCGATTCTGACATGTCAGGTTTTTGAAATTTAGCCTTTTTATACATGGACTGCAAGTTTAGTGGAGGCGGAGCAATAAGCAGAATGGTCCAAGTGCAGAATGGGTCCAAGAGCAGAAAAAAGAAAAATATTGACATATATTGGTTCATACGGGCTAATTGATAAAACAGAATCGTCCAAATATGCCAGGGAAACGAAAAAATTATGCATGAGTTGACTATATTCATTAAGTTTTTGGTTAAATTTTTTTCGAAAATTTCTGGATTAAATTGCCTAAATTAAGCATAAAATGTTCGTTGCTTTGCTATCATTGACATTTCTTTTTATTAATTTACCGATTAGATTGTAGAAGTTGATATTTTTCTGCTCTTGGACCCATTCTGCTCTTAAACCATTCTGCTTATTGACTGGCCACAAATTTTAGTGTTAATTCCTTGCTCCTGAATTCATCGCGTGTGTTGATTTTTGGCCTTTCCCTCCAACTTTGCAAAACCTCTCGTGTGCGTGGCTTTTGAGTGCTGGCTGTTTGGTCTATAATCACAAACTTCAGCTCAGCAGTACCGCTTACCTCCTTACCACATTCTTACAGAGTCCTCTTTGCGTTGTTCATCGACCCTCGTGTCTGAATATTGGACTGTCTGGCCAACATGAGAGGAGTTACATCCACTATACTTAGTAGCAAAAAGTTCGGACAGACAGATTTAATTAAAATGAACAATCAATTTTTTTCGACACAATTGCTGGCAGAATCGGAAGTCAAACAAACTTGATTTTTTTAGCAAATTCAAAACACTGAATTCTCGATAATCCGATGACTATGCAAGCCTAATTTTTAAATACTGCAAGGAACATTCAGTTTTTACGATAAAAAAGTTAGCAAAATTTGTTCGAGAATCAAAATCTAGAATTTTTTTAGCAAAAAAAAACAAATTACAACGCCACAAAAAAAAACGGATGTGAACATGATCAAATCATTCAACATTTGAAAGTAATCGCAGAAATTCATCAGCCATTTTGAGCCATAATTCTCCTGTTTCAAGTTTTACTTTTCGACGCTTCCGACACAATTGCTCGCCTTGGTTATAGTGTGACATTCGACCAGGATGGCGGTCAAAATGCATGACAAAGTCGAAATTTTACTTGAACGGTTTAGTGGTAGGGTTGGTTGTTTCCGTGGATTAACGGTCTTAATTGATAATTTGATCGATTTGGGAGAGGTCAATTTTAGCTGACATGTGAAATCTTAAAATTTTGATTGTAGAGACACGTGACCGTAATTATTTTTGCGAATACAGAAAAAGCGCAAAAATCATCAGAATAACAATTTTTGTTTGTAGAAAACAGACCTACGACACGAATCGGAATTACAATCAGTAATATTTTTGAAAGAACATTCCGAATTGTTACGATTGTGCCTCTATATTCGCTACAGAGCAATTTCGAGATTTTGGAGGGTTATCGGGAGGTTTTTACTACCCTTCCCGAGTGACGATAAGACTGCTCTTTGTCTGGATTCAAGAATCCGTAAGGGTCTCGGGAAGAGACTGAAACTGTGTTTTTAACAACTTTTAGCTTCCTGGTATGTCCTGAGCTGAATTTAATTAACATCTAATTCATATTTCAGAAATTGGGGGAAAGGGTTGATCCAACTCCGACGGAAATGGTGTTTTTTATCTACTGAACAAAAACAATTGTAATATGATAAATAAAAAGTAGCCCTGTTTTTTGAGGAGTGACCTCGTGGTCTGGGGATAGTGAGACCCAACCATGAGCTCACTATTTTTGCATGTATCTAGTTAGTTTGCGCAATTTGGCCGTGGAACACCCATAAAACTGGCTTCGGTAGACGTGTAAAGCTGTGTAAAGCTGTGTTTAGACGCTAGCCAGTCGGTTCAGAACATACCTTTGTTTTCCGTCGTCATGTAATTCCGGATGAATATCTTATATATGTTTTTATTCCGTTCCTGGGTGATATTCTTTTAACATCACGATCGACAGAGCCATTAACAAACACTCCGCGACGAGCGCATGATCTAAACAAGGTCTTTAGCACAGGGCCGGGAGGTTGGTTTGGAACGCGGAAGCCTTCCGGATTCCCGAATTTAGTTTTTTAACCTAGTTAAGACCGAATATTCACGTAAAGTGAAGGGTGAGGGGAGAGGCCGCCCCTTCATTCCCTGAGCGGTATATGAACAAAAACACTTGAAAAAATACAAGAAACCTAACAAAAAAATATATAGTACCTAAGAAAAAACCAAAAACATAAGCATTAACCAAAAAAACAAAAAACAGTAAAAATAAAAACATAAATTCAGTAAAAATCAACCTGCAAAAAAGAGGTGATCCGACCCTCCCGCTTGTTGTTGTTAGATATATTGCTGTTACAGGCTTTTATATCAAACAGGAAAATTACGATGAAAATTGTGGTCTGGCCCCTTTCTGGTGCGTGTACTGTAGGGATGTTTGAGCATTTAAGCACGTTCATGCTAATTTGCGCTCAATCCGGAAGGCTCATGGGAAGAGAGCGGATGACTGATCCGGTAAGCAGTGCAAAGAGCAGCAGGAAGTGTCTCAAGGACAACAATAATCGACTCTTGGGTATCGTTAACAAGTTTTTTATCCATTTTGATACAGAAACTAAGATATGAATCAGTGGGAGGCTCGACACGACATTGACTGCACTGTATTGGCCCTCCAGCGAGATGCAAATTTCCGAGTTAAGCACTTAATTCGGATATTGAACAGACCCGGAGGGGTATAATAATAATAGCATTACTATTTATACTGCTTTTATTACTACTCTTATATCGTTTTTCAGTGAAACAGACCGTAAACAGACCGGTTTTAGATTCAAAATAGTGATACTTTGATCCCCCCACAAATCGCGGTTTTTGAGATATCGATAATTTTTGAAACGGAAAAAAGCGCTAAAGTAGTGAGTTACATTGTAAGTGCACTGATATAT